GGAATGTAAATCTAATATTAGAGAATTCAATCTTTATTTATTAAGTAACGTAGTTTGAACAAAAAAAACTTTTTTTTAAAACATAATGTTTTTAAATTAAAATTTTATTAATGAGTGAGGGTAAAAAGGTCAATCATTCCTCTCTGCAGCAATTTTTTTTTCCTTTTTATTCCGAGTTCTGACCTTCTCTGTCTGCGAGTACCCCTGTTGGTCGCAAGAAATTGCAGATCTCTAACTTCTCCATTGAGATTGCATCTAAAGATAAGGTATGCCTCCGTCTTCCCCTCTTAAGCTTATTCGCCCAGGAATAATCATCAAGAAATTAGGGTTTATTTATTTATTTATTTTGAATTTCTCAAAACTTAGAAATGGAAATGGGACCATCAAGAAGTTAGGGATTTTTATTTCCTTCTTTCAAATTCTCAAAACCAAGAACCTTCATAGCGAATTGGTGGGTGTGGAAGCTTGTTTAGCTTCTGCTGCAATATGCTAGAAATAGTATTGTGTTCTCAAGTTAACTGCTTCCATTTCTACATTTGCACCTAGTTTCTGACTTTCTGTTTCATTTTCCATCACTTACTTTTAAATTACAACTATCAGGGTCAACATACGCTTCTACAGATGGCTTCTTTCCGAGCATTCTTGAACAGTCCAGTTGGTCCTAAAACAACTCACTTTTGGGGACCTGTTGCCAACTGGGGATTTGTGATTGCTGTATGTATCACTGTTTTTGACATGTTTAATATGTCATACAAACGTCGTTTTCCGTGCTTGATCAATTTGTATTGTATCTAATTATAATTAGTCTCTATAACAGGGCTTGGTGGACATGAACAAACCTCCGGAAATGATTTCTGGCAACATGACCGCTGGTAAAAAAACATGATCTTTTTTCTGTAGCTATTAGATGGTTGAGATTGCTAACGGTTTTCCTGCTTTCTTGGTTCTGCAGCAATGTGTGTCTATTCAGGATTGTTTATGAGGTTTGCATGGATGGTACAGCCACGGAACTATCTGCTTCTTGCGTGCCATGTATCAAATGAGAGCGTACAGTTGTATCAACTTTCCCGTTGGGCTAGAGCCCAAGGGTATGTAGCTTCTCTAATTAATTTTGAGCTATGTGCTCTGGTCATTTGCAATTAGCTGATTACGATTCCTGTCTTATTTTGCAATTTGTAGAAATGCTGTGATTAGAGATTAAATTCTAATATATCTCAAGTTTATCAAAGAAAAAGAGTGAATGGCTGTTCATAACCAGCACTGAACTTATATTACAAACAGTTGCAGAGAATTTAATCCTCAGAATCAATTCATCTCGACACAATCAAAATCAAACATTTCTGTAGTGAATAAGTTTCTCATAACAATAGTAGAGAAGTGGTCACACTTTGGATAATTCCTTTCACTTGCATTGCTATTAAAAGACATTCAGTTTTGCCAAGGCATTGCGTAGCCTTCTGTTTTTTCATTTCATTAGCTAGTATTACTTCTGGAATTTAAAGAAGAAACATGGTTAGCTTATATTTTTTGCTGGTTAGGTACTTGCTGTTTATTCAAGTTATAGAATTTTTTTCTTAGCAACTTTCTAGCAAATGCTTATGATTTGGTCATTAGAGTGGAACTTTTAAAGTTTCCAATATACTTATCACCGTTGCATCTTGGTTTATTATCATAATTGTAACTAGTCCTTAAGTTTGTTAAAACCGCATTGAAAGATAAGTATTAACAGGGCATGGATATGTTCTTAATTGTCTTCTTTTATGTCAGGTACTTGTCAGAAAAGAAAGAGGAAGCCCCATCAAAGTAAAGCAGCTTTCCTTCCTATCTGGTTTGTGATTTCTGATTCTGAAGAATGTGTTTTCTGTATTTGTTTAAATATGCTATTGAATCAAGTTACAGTCATTTGACTGCAACAAATGTAGCAGAGGCTGGGCCAATTGCCATTTAATTAACCTTGTTGTCATTACCATCAAAGGGGATAGCACAATAGGTTCATTATGTGTTTGTTTTTATAACCTTTGCCTTTTGATCATCAGATCCTACTTGGATTATCTACATGCAAAAAGGTTGGCGTTATGCAATCTATGTTGTATTAAACAAAATTCTAGATTAAAATAAAAAATCGGTACTCGGTCCAATATGATCGCAAAAATAATGAAGCATTGGTTCTATATGGTTGCTCCCCAGATTTTCTAGATTGTAATATTGTAAAGATCAAAATAACATTAGTTGCAAAACTGATTTGTGCTGGATTGAGACGGAGCCATTCGGGCTCTGTTTCAATAACTCATTGTTAATCTAGTGTCCTCATTTGAATTTTAGGATGACAATTGATAGATCTTCTATGACTTGTATTTGTCAAGGACAGGTGTTATATTGGGAACATTAATTCTTAAAGGGAATAATTCTTCCATGAATTAGGAACTATAAACATGGCTAGGATTTGATTGATGCTGGACTATTCCTAGTAATATGCTTTTGTACCATCCAAAGACCATTTTCGCCAAACACAATTACTAAAAAGAAAATCAATAATAATACTACAAACTAGACTCTAGTGCAGTTGGTTTATGCTATACTTTTTTTTTGGGTAACAAGGCAGCACGCCAGGCATTCTGCAGTGTAATTAACGCTGTTAGTTTTTTTTTTTTTTTATATTCTTTTGACAAGGATAATGATTAGAAAGTTAATAAGAATTAGTTATTAGCAACTGGTTTTCAGACCGGGTGAACATTCCACCCTCTCAAATGAGGCGCGCGGCCATCAGGTCGCTTTTTGGTGAAGTTCACGACAGCGGTGGAACTCGAAGTTCTGACCACTTCACCCAAGCACTTAAGGCTTGGGATCGAACCATTGGGCCTAAAGGTCTGGTTCAATTAACGCTTTTAGTTAGCACGTATAATGTTGGTGGAATAATGCATGAGTGTAAATGATTCTAAATATTAATTATAATTTGTTATGAATGAATAATTTAAGGAGATATGACTATTCAATTTATTATGGTTCATAAAATGTCTGGTGAAGCATGCTATAAGAGTCCTGTTAAATTGTGTTCTTAGATCTCTTAACGAAAAAAAAGGGTTTTTATTTTTATTTTTATTTTTATTAACCTCTTGTTCCCATGGTAATTTAGGAAATTCAAGGCCTAATTTAAGAGAAATTGATCTTTTTTTCATTTAAATCAATAGGTTGTTGATTTATTATTTGCAAATAAACCTTACACTATGATCCTAAAATTTCTAATTTAAGGAATTTTATTTTGGAAAAATCATCATTGTGAAAAGTGAATACTAATCTCAGTTTCAAAAAGAAAAATTGGAGTATTAACCTTAAAAAGATATCGTTTAATGTAATTAAATCATAATTCAAAAATTAAAATTTTATCTTATTAAATATTGATACTTATATTTAAAAATTGACTTTTAAATAAAATATCATTTAAGATTGAAATTTTAATTTTTTTAAAAAGTTAAAATTGATATGCACTGTTCTTATATTATTATTTAATTATAAATCTTCATTTTGGAGATTAGATTAGTCTTCCATGTATTAGTAATATAGAAATAATTTTTTGTACAATATTTTTATATAATTTTCGTTTATCATTAGATAAATATATGCATTTAATATTATATATTTTAAATAAATATTAAGATTGAAATTTTAATTTTTTTAAAAGATTAAAATTGATATGCACTATTCTTATATTATTATTCAATTATAAATCTTCATTTTGGAGATTAGATTAGTCTTCCATGTATTAGTAATATAAAAATAAT